TAATGAACTGTGAATTAATGGGGTTTTATTGTATAATGCAAGTTAAAGCAATATACTCATAAAACAAACAATCCAATTATCTTTTATTATATCATAGCTTTCAAACACCTAGGGCTTTGGTCTCATTTATCTTTAGTTGTATACAGACAGAATTCTATCAAGGGAATGCCAGGAGCATGAAGTTATTAACTCTTTCTACTGAAGCCAGAGGTCACAGAAATGTCTTGCAGGATATCCTGGCTTCTTAGTGTGATTTAAGAGCCTCAGCTCTGGACTCACACTCCCCAAGATCAAATGCTGCTTCCTCCTGGTAGACTCTTTGACAGTGGGAAGTTTTACCAGGTCCATCCTCTGTAAAATTAAGATGATTATGGAATTTATCTCACAGGGTTGCTGGAAAATTAACTTTTAAAACAGAGCCTGATACATAGACAAATCTCAATATAATTCTATCACGATAGCTGGCCGGGTATTAAAAGAAGTTTATCCACTTTTAGGCTTCCACGCAGCAAGTTCACCAAGCTCTAACTTAGATGATTAATTCAACTGTGCTTATAATTTGCCACACATTTAGTGGTTTTGTATGCTATAATAGTATTAAAATACCTCCTTCAGGAGGTGATTTTTAAAACTTATTTTTCTGAGGTTACCAGAGTAGAGGGTTGAAGCAAAGGGTGGAGGAAGTCCACCCTTTGGTCTATAGGAACTAGTGGTCTATAGGAACTAGTATTTTGGTCATGGGCATTGTGATATACATTTGAAGAGATGTGAACCTGTACTCTTCAAATATATACAGTGTTGTAAACCAATATTACCTCAATAAAAATAATAAACAATAAAATTTTTTAAAACTTGTTTTTTTGTGTAAATGCATTGTAAAATTAGCTTTAAAAATCATTTAGATTTTTTAAATACTTTAAAAAGTCCTTTAGAATAAAATATTCACTTAAGTTCAGTTACTATATTATTAGTATTTCAACTCAGAGGTGACTTTTCTGGTAATATAATAGGGCAGAATGACTTTTATGGACTTATTTTTATTGTTTACTTCTATTTTTGTTATTTAAATTTTATGACAGTTGAAATATCACTAGGAGAGCTCTTGAGTTTTCCCTTTCCCCACCTACTCTTTGTCGGTCAACACCACTTGTCCAAGCCCCAAAGTCTTGGTTTCTCTCTCTTTTTTTTTAATTTACCCTCTTATATATATATATATTTTTTTTAAAGAGATTTGTTTTTATTTATTTATTTATACAAGCACTGGGTACAGTCAGAAGCACGGGAGGGTGAGAGAATTCACCAGAGCCAGAGCGGGGAGCAGAGCAGGCAGAAGGACTGAAGTACACTGCTGAGGGGAGCAGCGGGCGGCAGGAGAGGTCTGTGTGCCATGTGGGACCCTCCTCTGGTGGCAGGGGAGCAGCCGGGGATCGAACCGGCATAGCACAGGCTGCGGGCAGCTTCGCAAACCAGCGCTCAACCGCTGCGCCACCGGGGAGGCCCTTGGTTTCTCTTTGATACTTCTCTTTCCCTCACATACCTTATTCACTATATCATAAGAACTAAACACACTGTTTTTAAAACATGTCATCATATGTTTCTTTCTTTATGGTTATTATTCTCTTTCAAACAACTTTCACCTGTTCTCTTGCCTGGACTGCAGCATCAGCTTCTTAAATGGTTTGCTTGTATGGGAGAATTTCCAGGTTGCCAAGAGAAGAAGACTCTTGAGTCCTGACAGGATCACTTCTAATTTCCCTCAATTCTTTCTTTTTTTAAAAAAGATTCATTTATTTATGCATACAAGAACTGGGGTATAGGTCAGAGGTGTGGAGGTGAGAGGATTCACCAGAGACAGAGTGGGGAACAGAACAGGCAGACTGACTGAAATACACTGCTGAGAGGAGCAGCAGGTGAGTCAGGAGAGGTCTGCTGCTCCATGTGGGTAATCCCTGACCGGGGATTCAACTCGTGCTGCAGTGGCTGCGGATTGCTTCATAAGTTGCATCTTAAACCCTTGTGCCACCAGGAGGCCCAGATTCCCTCAGGTCTTAATTCCCACCAAGGTTAATTCCATGATATAGTTCAGAATAGTGTAATAAATTGACTTCCTCTCCAAGAAAGTAGTATAGTTGACAGTTTCTTTTAGATTTTCATTACATACCACTCTCAAGATACTACAATGCACTTTATCTCCTTCTCTCAATTTGTTTTTATTATCTCATATTAGCATCTTCAACATAGCAGGGTGGGCAAGTTCGATTACATTGTTTTCTAAGGGAGAAAACTGAGGCTCAAAGAGACCATAAAAATTGTAAGTCACAGACTAGAGATTTGAACCCAGTCTGGTAATACCAATGCCATGGATTTATCCTGGCATTCATTTAGATTTACAGAATAAAAATCTGGACTAGAGCAGGAGAATCTGTTGTTTTAAGGAACTCTCCAGTAGTAGTACTCAGTAGTAGTACTGAGTTGGACAAGAAAAAGCAGGTAAGGAATGTTAAATACACGATATCTTTGGAATATCAGCTGAGAGTAATTTATCCGATTAGGTTAGTGAACTGGTTAGCCCCAGGGATGAGACATGGAAAGATGGCAATGGAAACCAAAGAGTCATTGGTTGGGGAAGATGGACAATATATGCTATTTGTCAGCAAAAGAATCACAAAGTATGAGATGGATGTGGAGAGCAATCAAATTGAAGTTCTGTGAGTTGAAGACTATTATTTCATGGTTTAAGGGCCTCCAGTAAAATCCAAGTAGATACTGAGCTTTTTTAACTGTCTCTTCAAGTTTTTTGAAGTCTTTACCCAAGTTATTCAATGTATTTTTGAACCATTAAAAAAGTCCTTTCAAAGTAAAGTAGGTGAAAAGGATATTTTATAGGGGTATAAGATAATTTAAAATAATTTAAGCCAGAAATGGCTTTACAAGTATCTCCATACCATTCTCCCAATTACTGAGAAGTCTATTTATGATACAACCATAATGTAATTAAAAGAAACAAATATTTAGAGTATTTTTCCTATTGGAGAACATATAACTTTGTCAACAAAGCCTAATAAAATGCTGCTCTACCATAGTTCTTGTTAGCATTGAGTCCTAGCTAATAGAAGAGATAAACAGCCTCCTGAGGCTTAGAAACTATGGGAAGTCACATCTGGTAGTTTGCACCTGGCTGACCTATTCATGGAAAAGGTCAATTTAGTGCAAAAGGGCATTTTTAAAAAATCAGCTCTGCTGGAAGGAATTGAGCAGCTGTCAGGGGAGAAGGGTTTCATCCTTTCACACAATTCCACTCACTGAGCCCATTGCTTTAACCATAGCTGAGAGGGCCGTGGCTCTGCATTTGGTAACATTATTGTTGTCTATTCTTTACTCCTTTTGTTACTAGTGCAAATTTAGAAATTCACATTTTTCCTGTATTTCATTTATACATGCATTAGTCCAATAGAGTCAGAACACTTCATTTTATTACAACCTGAAGTCATATTTTAGGACTGGGTTCTATTGTCTTTACAAATATTAGAATACTGCTTTTGTGTTCCAAGTTAATTTTATTTAGTAAGTTAAAGCTTTCTCAATACCTGATCATAGTTTGCATGACAAATTATCTTTTTGCTATTCCTAAATTTGAGTCAATAGAGCGTTCAGGAAACCCATTTGAAGGAGAGGCAAGTTGAGGCAATTTATAAGGGATATCACTTGACCCCAGTACTGTGAGGCTCTAGTAGTGTCCACAATATGCTTTCCTAAAAGGCAGGAAGTAAGGTGTGGAGTTTTATAATGTTTGGAATTTCAAAATACCCATTCTAGGTGAGGATCTGTCAGAACAGATTAGATGACTGTCTTAGCTAGATTCAGGGAGTCTCCACTCAGATTTGGTTTCTATTCTTTAATGTCCAATGCAAAGCTTTAAACACTGAACCTCAGGTTTAATATGGTAACAACACTCTCCAGGTATTCAATTTTAGATTTTGATAACATCTGAGAAATTATTTTTTTTTTACACAAATCTCTTTTCAAATTACTCACTGCATTTGTAGCTATAACTAGGACATGGAAATAGCCTAAATGTCCATCAACAGACATTGGATCAAGAAGATGTGGTATATCCACACTATGGAAAACTATTCAGCTGTAAGTGGAAACACTGTCATTTATAGAAAAATGGGAGGGGAGAACTTGAGGAAATCATGTGTAGTAAGGCAGATCAGAATGACAAAGACAAATACTGAACACTTACACAGTGGATGATTTGAAAAAAGTAAAATACTCACAAAAACTTGCAGATGTTAATAAAATGAAAACTCTGAGGTTAAGAGGGAGGGTACAAAGGGACAAAAGATATGGGGATGGTGGTGGGTAAAAAAGGAAAAAAAATTGCATATTGCACTATTTTCTGAAAAGATATCATAGCTTTTTCATAAAAGATAAAACCAAATAAAAGAGAGTTATTACATCCAAGAATATTCAAGGAGGAGGAAATCAAATGCTATCTTTTGAAAAGTGGGATATCAGAGTTTGTGGAGAAATTTTATAAATAGCATAATCCTTCAACAATGTGTCTCCTCATTTATCCATGACAAACACTAACAAACTATTCAATACTATCAGACTCTAAAGTGAATTGTCTTTTCAAATGGTAGCACAACATTGATATTCTTTCCCTGGATCAATAAGGAAGTTACAATTTGTAGTAGAAATTACCATTATTTTCCTTCAACTGCATTCCAAAACCTAAGATAATCATACACAACAAAAAGTTACTCAATAGGGGCCTCCCTGGTGGCACCAGGGGTTAAGATGCAGCACTATGAAGCTATCTGCTGCCACTGAAGCACGAGTTTGATCCCTGGCCAGGGAGATGACCCACATGGCGCATCATACCTCTCCTGACTCACCTGCTGCTCCCCTCAGCAGTGTATTTCAATCAATCCATCTATTCTGCCCCCCCACTCTGTCTCTGGTGAATCTTTTTTTTTTTTTTTTAAATTGTAATGTCATTTATTATGAAGCCATACACAATTACTTGTCTTCTGGTTTGTTGAAACAATAGGTCAGACAACATTTGCCACAATAATGTCTGTCAAAGTGGCTGGCCATAAAAACTCCAGCACCACATTCATCGGATGGGCACTCCCGACGAAGGCGACTGATTTTGCCATTCTCATCCACCTTATAATATTTCAGGACAGCCAGCTTAACCTTCTTTCTCTTATGTTTATTTTTCTTGGGAGTGGTGTAAGACTTCTTCTTTCTTTTCTTAGCACCACCACGCAGTCTCAGGACAAGATGAAGAGTGGACTCCTTCTGAATGTTGTAGTCAGACAAAGTTCGTCCATCTTCCAGTTGTTTGCCAGCAAAGATTAGTCTCTGCTGATCAGGAGGAATTCCTTCCTTATCCTGGATCTTGGCCTTTACATTTTCGATTGTATCCGAGGGTTCAACCTCGAGGGTAATCGTCTTCCCCGTGAGAGTTTTCACGAAAATCTGCATCTTGGTGGCGGGTCCACCACGGTCGGCGCAGCGGAAAGTCTGGTGAATCTTCTTATGCCTGCACCTCTGGCCTGTACCCCAGTTCCTGTATGAATAAATAAATAAATAAATTTTTTAAAAAACTAACTCAACAGTTGATTTGTCGGGCCTCCCCTGGTGGTGCAGCGGTTGAGCGCTGAGCTGCGAAGCTGCCTGCAGCCTCTGCAGCGCTGGCTGCCCTATAACAGTTTGATCCCCGGCCTCCGGGGAGGGTCCCACATGGCACGACAGACCTCTCTTGTCTCGCCCGCTGCTCCCCTCAGCAGTGTGTTTCATCAGTCTGCCTGTACTGTTCCCTGCTCTGGCTCTGGTGAATTCTCTCACCCTCCCACGCTTCTGACTGTACCCAGTGCATGTACAAACAAACAAACAAACAAACAAACAAACAAACAAATAAATAATACATGCCTCTTTAAAAAAAATAACATAAAATAAAAAATAAAATAAACTCTTGCCATTTGTAGCAACATAGATGGAGCTGGAAGGGCTAATGCTAAGGGAAGTAAGCCAGAAAAAGAGAAATATCAATGGTGTCATTTGTATGTGAAATATAGAGAAACCACAAGTCAAAGACAAACAATAAAACCAACCTTTGAAAAAGGGCCATAGATCTGAGGCACCCAGAGGAGGAGAGAGAGGGGTGAGAAGTGGGGAGTTGGGGAGACACAATGGACTATGGTGAAGGACTGTGGGAGTGCTGTGGTGACTACACCTGAGAGGTGCAATCCTATACTGTCAAAACATTTACAGGGATGTAAAACATTTCAAATAAAAAAATGTTAAAAATAAATAAAAGCTAAAAAACATGAACAGTTTATTTTGCTTTAAGATTGATCAGGGAATGCACAAGGCATAGAAATGTAACAATGCAAATTTGTTAATAGGGATTATGAGGCAGTTTCTTCATAGATTTTAATTTAACTCCATGATGAGTTTATGATTAATTTTCCTCATTTCATAGTGAAAGTAAGTTCTGGAATCAGATTCATAACAAAAACTTTACTATTTTTCTTTTAACTTTCCTATTTATTCAACTTGAAATAAATGGCTTTTAAAAAGCAAGTATCTGGGCCTCCCTTCGTGGCGCAGGCTGTTGAGCGCTGCGCTGTGAAGCTGTCCGCAGCCTCTGCAGCACTGGTTCCATCCTGGCCAGCAGGGGAGGGTCCCACATGGCGGGACAGACCTCTCCTGTCTCCCTACTGCTCCCCTCAGCAGTTATTATCAGTCTGCTTGTTCTGCTCCCCTCTCTGTCTCTGTTGAATCCTCTCACCCTCCCGCACATCTATCCTGTACCGTGGTTCTTGTATAAATAAATAAAATAAATCTTAAAAAAAAAAGAGCAAGATCTGTAGTTTATGGAACCAAAATTCTCTGTCACTGAAACCAGATTTTTAACATACCCAATAAAGGCTGATATTTCCCATCACCTCATCCGGAGGAGACAAATTCATACTGAAATAATTTTCCTTTCATTGAAAACAAAACATCAATATCCCCAGAATAGTCTGCCACCTGAAAAGAGAAAAGTTGGAATCTTTTGAGACTAATGTTTATAATTATTTATGTTTAGCCAACGTGCTTTTTAAGACTCCCAATATACACTTTAGATTTTTAGTAAAGATTTTTACAGAGAGTTCAAACACTTAGTTTAACATGTTTAAGTATCAATGATTCATGTCAAAACAAAATTACACATTAGCCAAATGCCAAACAAGTTTGACATGGAGATGAATCAGATCAGGCTGTTCAGTCTCCAGACTATAAGCACTGTTAAGTACTCCAGCATTATTACTTCCATTTCCTTACAGAACACGCTTTCAGCATTCGAACCATGAGGTTTAAGGGGAGTCACACTAGAAATAGGGAGAATGCCTCCTTTCTTTTAACTTATCATGACTGAATTGGCATAATGAATGGTGGCAGATAGGTCTTTCCGTCACACAACAGTTACTATTACATTTTGAATGATTCAGCTTCAGTGTCAAGAATAGCAAGTCTACTCACACAAAAGCTGGTGGGAGGCATGTGCTGTGAATTTAACATAGGGAATAGGAGAGAAGGGTCTGGACAACAACTTTTACCCTGTATAGGGAATAGAGCCCTATAAATCTGCACATGGATGAGCTATTAGAGATTACAGAAATGATAGGGAAATTCACTTCAGGTCAGTGTTACTTACCTAGAAAATTTGATGGCTTGAAAGCAAAAATAACTACCTAACATTACTTGATGTCTCTTTGTCTAAAGAGTTAACCATATTGCTAACATTCCTGCTACATGTGAAATGTGAATTTTTGTAGGATGACTTGAATCTAATTTCATGAAGTACTGAGACTTTGAGCATGGTATTTAATATAATGTCATTAGTTAAAAGAGAGGAGCCCATTACAACATTGTCAGTTGCATAGTAAAATCAACTTGATAAAGTGTGGCCCCAAAATGTAATTATTATCACTAGACAACCATTAGAAGTTACTTGATATCTATTATATTTGTACCTATTATATATCAATAAATCTAAATGGAGGCAGATCATACCACATAAAAGATTTTCCTTCACACCTCACACTTCATATATTTTCCTTATCTTACTTGATTGATTATAGCACAATTCTCTGTATATTTCACATTTAGGAAATAAAATAATTAATATTGATAATATTAAATAAGTCCTCTTGCCAAGTGTTTGATATTGAAAAAATAAAATTTGTTGTGTCTTAATATTAATGGCATACCCTATTTTAACTACTTATTGATTTTTTTCTTATATACCAATGAAATGAAAGTTTTAATAAAAGTAATTGTAATAACATTTAGATGCCTTATCTCATTTTTCTTAGGTTATATGCATTTAAAGACTATATGGCACAACTAACTCAGATCTAAATAATGATAGAAATAATTAGTTGTCATAAAAATCACCATAATGACCAACTGGATGAATGTGTAAAGCTGTGCAGAAGAGGATCATGCCAAGAAATCACAAACCCTAGTATTATGATGTTCATTTACACTTTATAGATGCTGAGAAATGCCTTTTAAATTGGAGCAAGAGGGAAGCCATATAAACTCACACCTGTCCCAGGGATTTTGATGATCTTTTGTGTTTTTTTCAGTGGAAAATTTCATGGACAAGATTGCTTTCCTTTCCATAGCTCTATTCTAATAACTTTTAAAAAGATCAAGAGCACAATTATATTTTTATTATCTATTTATTGAAATACAAATACCATCATTAGGTTCTAGATAAACATGTAAATTGTTCTACAGGTATATTTTGGGCTAAATTATTCATAGTTAAAATTTATATTCAACTATATAACATATGTGCCATATAGTTAAATTTAAATATAATATAAAAGTATAATAAATATAAATGTGAACTTATCTAATACTATCTGTGTGCTAGTCACTATGTAGAAGGGAATATAAGGAGGCATATAGATGAAAAAAGACACTATATCCTCATGGGGTTTACAGTATTGTTGTGGAGACAAGAAAATAATTGGAAAACGTAATCATATATGAGTGACCTGCCACATTGATTGGGATGGTCTATAAGGATAGGCTAACACAGAAAGTCGAGGTCAGTTTTTGTTAGACATTTAGGGAAACAGTGAGGGTAATGACAGTTGTTCTAAAGAGAAGACTTCTCTCTAGAATAAATTTATATCTGAATGTTGCAGCTTTGAATATGCTTTGGCTTGTGTCATCATAATATAAACAAACAAGAAACAAATATTAAGAGTTTGGACTCTATTGCATATCAACTCTTAATTAATTGCACTTTAACATTTGCTTTCACAGAAATCCTAGGAAAGAGAATCTTTCCATACTACATACCTTTACTTTTTCCCAATGACTCATCCCTACTTCCTTCGACATCTAGTTTAAACCTGTAGAGAGGCTCAATTTTGTAAAATTCAGAAATGTTTTGATTTTGGAAAAAAAGAGTGGTGATAGCATATATGCACAAAGTCTTAGAAGATAATTACATCATGAGCTGGGGAAAATTAGTTTTAAGAAATTTTAACTGTACTATAAATATTTGTTACACTGTGTATGTGAAAAGTCATTCTATTATGTCACATACCTCCAAAGGGTAGCTAGACAAAGCACAGTAGACAAAGGAAAAATTAATATTCTGGAAAAGGAAGGTAACGATGCATAATCACTAAAGAAACAACTCACTTCCTGAGGAAAATACAATTCTTTTAATTAGAATAGAGTAATGCAATTCTGAATATGTTTTCTCTTTCTCTTTTCACAATTATGGCCATGATATTTAGATTTTTTAAAATATTAAGTTCTTATATCCCCCTTGAAACTTTCCTCAATTTCTACATCATTCATTTTTTTTTAACTTAAAATTAAATGCCCTCATTATTTTTTCCCATGGAAGTATACACTCTTGGCTTCAAGATGGAAAGTTATTTCCTTTAATATTCATGATTCAGCAGGGTATTTTATGGCTAGGAAGAGTTACAGCTTAAGTGCATATCTTCTGTACATACAGAGGTCAGAAATAATTTGCTTCATGATATAGGAATTAAAATCAATACTCTTACTTCCTTAAGAAAACAAACATAACATAATGTAAATGAGAAATGAGTAAATTATTAATAGATGGGCTTATCTAAAATATAATACAAGCTAAGCAAGGTCAACCCAGAGAATCGAGTTTTAAGAAGCATTGCAAGTTACAGGAAGTATGAGTACAGTAGATATGTTGCCACGACTTTGTTTTACAAAGTCGCTTTCATCTGAGATTTTTAAAGTCACATTGCAGACACCACTGGTAAGTGTCCCTGTGTGAAAGTGCTTGTGTGATAATTCTTGACTTGAGAATGAGCAAATGGAGAGCAGGGAAGTCTTGCTCTACCTGGAAGTTTTGCATTTCTTACCTGGGGGCAGAAGACTCCAAGTTTTCTCTTTAACACTAAACTAGGAATGAGCTATAGGGAGTGCCATGGATGCTGTTGTCAGAGTCATCAGGGCT